TAAAATGTGTGGAAAGCGTATGAGTGAACGAGTTCGGAGAGATTCGGCATGCACCACGCAATAATCCACTTGCATGAGACGTTTTTTACGCAAGTGCTTGCACGGCAGAATCAAGGACCAATTATCGTTCAGTTACGCCTTTCTAATGACGCGAGCAATATTTCGCACGAAGTGATTTTTTGCTAAGTCCTTGCATGTTTTGACCGCACAGAACGAATGATCGATGTCACGACTTTGATATTTATTCAACCCAGCCTCTGTCCCGTGCTGATAAAATCATCCGTGTTGAATGCTGTCTACAATGGGGACGTGTCTGCACGATTCAGGCATGTGAAAGCCCGATACGAACAGAACATGAACAAGAACAAGACGGGATACGTGAAAACCGACAGCAGAGACCAGCATCACACACGCATGGGTTCCGAACGTGACCATAGGGATGATCCTGGGTCGGGAATCCCGGGTCCAAATCCGTCACCTGGTTTTCCTATCAGATCCTGGACCCACCCCCGAGATCCTGTGGTATGCCGCATGTATCCGATCGGGACCAATCGAAATAGCTCTGAAAATAGATCCGCCTTTCCTGTGTAGGTTTTGCAAGAACCAGTTCTTCCTCCAGTAGTAGTGAGCACGTGTCCTTATACGATCCGTCCGTGCTTTCCGTGCCGTTCGTGAAACCGCACGTGGTCTAGCGATTGGTGAACGCCCCCGCCCCGGTTTGTTCGCGGCATCGTTCGTCTAACCTCACTTGACCCTGGCTCCTGACCTGAGCTGATCTGAGCTCCTCAACTGACTTGCCTGGTCCGGGCTCTCGACCTGACGTTACCCGATCCTTGCTCCTGACCTGACCTCACCAAAACCGCGCTCCTAACCTGGCCTCACCTGACCCGGGCTCCTGACCTGACTCTGGCTCTTGACCTGGGCCTGACCTGACCTGACCCGGGGCGGACTCCACCACCGCACACTCCGGCGTCGGGCAGGCCAGCCAGCGGTCCCGGCGGACAGCTGGCACGACCTCACTACCGCACCCCTGCCGCTGAGGTCACCCCATTGGCTGACGTCCCGTCCGGCTTCAGCTGCTGTGACAGCTGTTCAAACGGCCCGTCTCGCCGGCCTTAGCCGGTTATCCGCATAATCCGTTGTACTACGGCCTTGCGTAGGTTTGTTCTCCTACGACTTCTAAGGTCCTATGTCGCGCAATGTAAGCTGCGCGTAATCGTCTTCAAAGTGCGGTCTTGCTGGGGATCTCAGGGGGGTGGTAAGACCGACTTGGCATGTCCTGACGCTGGGTGGCCCGGTACAGAATGGGCCCATTAAGTCGAGCACGCCAGCAGACGCCCCCGGTGGAGAGGGCTGGCGCGTCCACGGCGCGGTAATGAGAAGGCAGAGGGGCGGCCGAGCGACCGGCAATGCAAGAAGACAGCGGAGCGGATGGGAGGGGGGGGGGGGAGGAGCAGGGGAGGAGACAGCGGGGGTCTGAAGAACTCGGACTGGATCGATTCCGGCGAACTCGGGGTGGCGCCGATACCGGCGAGGCTTTAGAGGCGTGGCTCCGACTGTGTTGGGTTCTCACCTGCCTGGGTAATGCCTGGGCATCTGCAGACAATCCCGGGTTATCACCGGGTCGTTAGGGTCCCATTGTCACCACGACAACAACGCTGCTGCGGAGGTCCGCGGCGTGACTTACCACTCATCCAGCTGTGCAGGTGTGTTGTCTTCTGCCCGATTGCGTCTCACACGCTGCGCAGTGAAACCGCCGCGGGCAAAGATATGACGGGCGCGTTCTGGAAGCCCGCAGCGACTCCATGCATATTGCCCAGGTCAACTGCCCCGTTCTGAGTCCGTATGCTGGAACTGCCCCCAACGACGTTCTTAATGCTGGCGCGCAATAGACCACGGACTCAAGGCTAGCACACCTCGTACCTCCATGAGTCAGGCCTTAACAGTGCGACTTGTAATGGGCCATGGAATCCACGGCATCGATCAGCGCTGGCTAAGTTAATTTGAGCAGCGCTGTTTGCATAAAGAATGTAGGCGGCCTGGTGTGCGGACGTGGAATGACCAATTGATGACCTTGCTTGCGGCAGGCGAATGAATGTTCCACCAGGGAGTGGTGGCGCTGATGACAACAACAGTTACATTCTTCGATGAGCAATCCTGCAATTATGCTAAATAATGAAGAATGTGCACGAAAGTGGTGCCGATGAAAACTGGGAAACACGTGCCGTTATGGTAAATTTACCTTCGTGTTTACGATCGTTGTAACAGGATGTTTGCGGCGTGAAGGATTTCTGACGATACCGCACACAGCTAACGCCTTCAGGTCGTTTCACATGCAGCTCTCCTATCGTCTAGGCTTTTCAATGCTTGCAGGTCATGCAAAGAGTACCAGATCACAAGGACTTCCGCGCCGCGCTGTGCTCGCTACAGGAGTGCATCCAGTACCATTGTAGAGTTCGGTACAGTGTGCTATAAATTTCCGTCATCTTTCTTGTCCATGCCGCCTTTGACGACCGTTGTGGCATGTACGACACACTAGTGGCATCCCCACGAGTACTTGCATATGCATTACAAAGGGTTGGTATCATTTCTATCAGTGCTAACTGCCACAAGTGCTATAAGTACCACTTGCGCAACAAGTACCAGCGCCTATAACTAATGTAGTTTAATGCGTGGTCATCGGAGCAATGTTAATGACCTTTCTTAGCCTCGTACAGCCTGGCGTTCGCTGTGTTGGCCTGTCCCTGCCACTTTCCTTTGCGCTACTTAGTATTGCAAGCCGGCTCGTCCTTAAAGCGTCTCAGATTAGGCCGGAGGAAGCCACTTTCCTATTACATGATCACCACAACCATGGCAGTATCCGCAGCACCATCAGGTCAGCTAAATTTACAAATTATAATATTCAGCCGAAGTTTTCTGAGGTGAAACGACGAACCTCATGGCCACTTTGAACTGAGTGTAGCACTCCGCCGATGCTCATGCTTTTGGTTCAGAGTGAAACACTGAGCAGGATGACTAAGGCCAGTTCCAAACCTCGAACCAACACCGCAGCTACATGGGGCAGTATACGGGGGAGCATGTTCATACTATGGGCCGTTCCGGTTTCTGTCGAAACTTGAAATGAATTGAAATCGTGGCGATTTAAAACGAAAAATGAAATGAAAAATGAAATGAAATCCCCTCGTGGTTCGACTCACTACCTCATCGACCTAGAGATTAACTGGCGTAGATGTGGGCTGGACGGCGTCGTGCGAGGCGTGACCCTCATAAGTCTGAGCTCCAGGGCGATTGAGCACCGAATCGTGCGACCGAACCTCGTGTTACGCTCGACTGGCAGCTGATATCAGTCTCGATCTGAGGGCTCTTGTCAGCTCTTTGGTTCACAGCGACAGACAATCGCGTGGGGAAAATGAGGAGTAGCTAGCTGGTCAGAAAGCGACTTTCGCGAGCTGACAAGTCCAGCGGCGTCACCCATTGGCTTTCACACGTTCGAGGAGCGCTCGCCGTTTGTCGTAGTCGCTGTTCGCCTCCGAAGACGGCTCGCCACGGCTGCCGAGCAGTGCTGAACGCCTAGACTCGTTAACAAGCCGGGCGTGACTCGGAGGCGGGTCAGACGTCCCCCGGTCCCGCCAGCGGTGCGGACACTCGGCGGATGACCCTGACCCTGACCTTGCCAGGCCGGACCGGCCGGACCGACACTTTCACCCGCCGCTACCTCTCCCTCCCGCGCCCCCTCCCGCCCCCCCCCCCCCCCCAGCCAACGACACCTCCGCTGCGCGGATCCGTCTCGGGTTTTTACTGACCGTATCAGAACGGCGATTTGTGATGGGGGCTAGGGGATATGGGGCTTTTTGTGCGGAGGGCTATCCGGGACCATTATGTCCGGGCTCATGATTCAGCCAGCAGCAATTATATCTCAATCCTCGCGGCGGAGATGCGACGACAAAAAGCGTGGATCGTGCAGACGGAGACTTGTGAAGTCTTACGCGGTAGTGAGTTGCATTACGAGATGGCTTAAGCCCGCGGTATGAACAGAAGGCCGCTGCCGGGAGACGTTACAAGCTTTGTGCACCCTTCGTGAGAGTACTTTCGGTCCAACGAGCTGTCATTTTGGCCAGCGGCTGCACTTCGTCAACTGCATCTGCTACTTCTACTACTACTACTACTTTGTCAACTTCGTCAACTATTTTGGAATGCAAGTTGGGTTTGTTCGCGGGCTATTTTTATGCATCGCTGTTTGCATGTGATGCTAATTTTCTGCGATGCTGTGCACAGAGTTGCACTCAGAGCTCCGCGCAACATTTTACGTCTGTCTTAATCACTTACCGCGCTGAAATGTATTTCTAGTTGCCGTTGTTTTGGCATGCAAACCTATGTTCTAACATGCAAGAAGGAAGCACCCGGATAACATTGCATCAGTCGCAGCGTTTAACCCCAGGTTTCTTTGCCACCATCTACCCCAGCCGATCGGGTTCGTCGCTGAGGACGTGCCTCTCTTCCCCTCGATCGGCGGTGTCCGTCCCCTAAGCTGAACCTGAGGAACCGCGCCGGTAGCTGGCGGCAACGTCAGGGGACCTCCATAACTGGCTCTGAACTGTTGTCGCCGCAGTCGTAGGTCGCCTCCGTGTCCGTTCCCGTCCCCTACCCCTCTACACCAAAACGTCAGCAATATCCGTGTCCAGCCTTAGCTGCAGAATGTCGGCGGTATCCGTGTCTAGCCGTCGCCCCAGAATGTCGACGGTATCCGTGTGTAGCTGTCGCTCCAGAATGTCGGCGATATGCGTGCCCTGCTGTCGCCCCAAAGCGTCGGCGGCATCCGTGTCTTGCCGTCGCCCCAAAACGTCAGCGGTATCCGTGTCTTGCCGTCGCCCCAAAACGTCAGCGGTATCCATGTCTTGCCGTCGCCTCAAAACGTCACCAGCATCATTGTCTTGCTGTCGCCCCCCGCACACGCCCCCAGTGTTCACCTCACCACCTGACCGCCGCCCCTCTCCCCACAGACACGGTGACCGGCTGCGGTCAGCCGGACTGCCTCCGCTGCGGCGACGACAACCAGTGCACGAGCTGCGCGCGTGCCATTGTCCTCGGCACGCGCCAGTGCGTCACAGGCTGCCCGGGCAACTACCGTCTGGTACACAGCGATGTGGACGGCTACCACGGCCTCCTCTGCAGAGGTGGGCACCGCGGCGCTGTGCGAGTATTGCGGGCGTGGACAGTTTTAGGTAGAAGGTAGGTAGTAGGTAGGTAGTAGGTAAGCAGTAGGTAGGTTATAGGAAGGTGGTAGGTAGGTAGTAGGTAGGTGGTAGGTAGGTAGCAGGTAGGTAGTAGGCAGGTAGTAGGTAGGTAGGTAGTAGTTAGTAGGCAGGTGGGGAGTAGGTAAGTGATAAGCAGGTGTTAGGTAGGCGGTGTGCCTGTAGGTTGTAGTAGATAGTAGGTAGCAGTCGTAGGTGCCACCAGACGTAGGCGGGTGCTTGTAGGCTCGAAGACATTCTTCTGCTAGTCCTTGTGACACTGTGCGCACGTGCACTGACGAAATGTTTCAATGAAATGCGTCGAAAAACTGCAGAATCGTGCGGTCGTGTTTCATCCGGGATTTTTCAGGGCAGCGAAACCCTCACCACGATCCGTCTGTTCTGATGGGTTGAGCATATTTGTCCGTGGTTTGTTAGCAAACAGTCGTGGCACCCATGGCGTGCCGGGTCATGCTAATGCACCGCGCGCTGTCATGATGATACACTGCCGGCTGTAACGAAGATGCACCGCGCACTGTCATGATGATACACCGCGCGCTGCGCTGATAACGCACCGGCGCTGCAATGATAACGCACCGGACGCTGCTATGATAACGCACCGCGCACTGTCATGATGATCATGACTGAACTGCGTCCCATCCGTGGCCTGTAACCCGGTTCACTGTTAGCTTGCTACACTGGACCACGCGGTGTTGGCCGGCGCCACGCCGTGAAGACTAGGAGACATTGCAGTTGTCGTCGCTTCAGCTTCCCACGCCATTGTGTCGGCGGCGCGATCAAGGGTGGAGGTGGGACGATTCCGGTGAGAGAGAGTTTTCGACTTTTGCGGTTGGACTGCGCCTCGTCAAGGGCAGTCCGGTGGCGGGCAGTGGGGAGCGGGAAGACCAGCGGGCAGCAACTGCTGCAAAACGTCCGGGTAGTGCACATTGGGCAGTAGTGTCAGTGGGCGGTCGGGCGGTGAACAGCGAGCGATCAGAGGGCAGAAATGATTGAGTGGCAGGAGCAGCGGGTGTTGGACAGTGGCCAGTGTGGTTAGTGGATATCAGTCCGCTGGGCAGCGGGTGGCTATCGGGCAGCCTGTCCGCTGGGCAGCGGGTGGCTATCGGGCAGCCTGTCCGCTGGGCAGCGGGTGAATATCAGGCAGCCGACCAGCTGGGCAGCAGGCGTGACCAACGTCACGTCCTGGTCGGACAGCTGCCTGATCAGCCGGCACGTGCCCTGCCGCTGGTCCCAGCGTCCGGCCAGCGCTTATCGCCGACAGCGCGCCGGCCGCTCGCTCACAAACAAGTCTGGTTATGAGCATTTTTACCAGTGACGTCATGGTGGGAGTTTTCCGGGAAGCCGATGAGTTGCTGGTCAAGGGCGGTGTGGTGCGTCGTAAAATTGTTGTTTACAGCGATTTTACTGCAGTTTGAATTGGCTTAGACATGTGCTGCCGCATCTGTACTTGCTCATTGCTGAATACGCATCTGCATTTGCGTTTACTACTTCCTCAATGACGAAAAGATGCGCGTTGCGTTTTCTTTCGACAGAGCAATCCCATTTGCGGAGCATGACAAATTTGGGACAATGCTCCAGCGATTTCATGCTACGCGGACTCTTAATTTTCCCAGTTTGTTCGTCCAAAATATGGACTTGAGGATGATTCATTGCGACATTAAAACGTCGTAAATTTGTCAAGAATTGCCGAGCTATTCATCATATACCCATTTTAGAAGCAGTCGGGTCGGGTCTGCGGTTCCCTATACAGCGCGAGCTCAACTCGGACGCGGCTGCCCATGTGGCGGTTCGGCAACATTTGACATGTGCCAATCAATCCAACGCGGCCTCCAAGCATCTGGACATGGAGATCGTGCCTGCCGCCAAATCCGCCGCGCTAGCTGGGCTTCATTTGTGGTTGGACCTGGGCTGAGCTGGTTCAGATAAATCGTTATGTCTCTGATCTAAGCGAGAGGCTCTCATCTCACCTTATTATGGTTCTCATCTTAGTGAGACGGCGCTCTAGGGTGTATCCATTCTGTGCGATATCAAAGTCTTGTTGCCTTTGTATCATTGTCTGTCACTGTCGCTTCATTGTCACATAAACTGCAACATTTGGTAATGTGGGTATTGTACGTAGTTACTCCACCGTCATGTTCTCGGCGCATGCATCAGCTGACTGCTTTGCAATTCCAACGGGCCATTCCATCCGTTAAGTGCTACTTTTTGAAACGCTGCACGATGTAAACCCAGTCCACAGCAACCCACGTTTTCTCTCCTCGCCGTGGCCGGCATACCCTTGCGGTAGTCTGAAGCGAGCGGAAATGGCTTGTCAGCCAAGGCGGAAGCAGTTTATCGAGCACAATCGCGAAGCTAAACCCGCTAACCACTGCGCGGCCCGAACTCGCCACCGTCGTTTGCTTTGCGCGAACACAATACGCAATTGTGAACACCGCTGGCAAACCGGGAAAGGTACTCAAAATTTTGCACGTGATTGAGTGACAACAGGTCGTCGCGCTATGGCGGCGGTTTTTCTCTCCGGGAACTCGTTTGGTGGCGCACACTGGGCTCAAATGGTTCGGTTCTTTGTGGCCGCTGCAGCGCCGATCTGAGGCTCACCCGTCAGGCGCAGCTGACGAGCAAGCACAATGTAAAAACCCTCAAAACCGACATTAAGATCTCCTGTTGCGGTCCAGAGGCGGTGGGGCGCATACCGGGCGGGGTTTGGGCCGGCGTCGCATTCCGCCGCCGCCGGGACTGCCGGAATCGAGTTCAGAGGTGACCGCCGATGTCAGGGGCGAGCCAGCCACAGCCGGCACGGCCGCGTCAGGCTCAGGCGCGGCCTCCGGCTCGCGGTGTCAGCTCGGAGGTGCAGCCAAGATCGGAGATTACTGCTTCCTGATCGCTTTTGCCGTGGAGATCGATGATAATAGTTTCGAAAAAACGTAAGGCTTTTAGCGTTAGCGGTTTTGGACTTCTGCGACTTTTTTGGTCGGATTTGGCCACACGCTGGACGGGACGAGGGGGTGGCGGCGTGGCCTTGGTCGCCAAAGAGAGACATACGAAGAAGAGAAGACACCAAGCAAGAATAGGGACGCCCACCTCCACGTCGGTGGAGGGAGCGCCCTCAGACCAGACGGGTCCCGACGCCGCGGTCGGCGGGCCGGAGCCGGAGGCGGAGCCGACCTCAGGGCCGACACACGGACGCATTCCGCGACTTCCGGAGCCGCGGCCCGGCCGGCCGCGAGCGCTCGCCACCGTGGGAACGCCTCACGGCCGGGGAGACGCCGCGGCTCTGGGACGCGGCAGGTCGGCCTCTCCCGACCCATCACCGCTCGCTTTACTATATTGTTTTTTTGTGAGAAGGCGCGGAATTCGGACGGTATGTTCTCCGGTAGTTGGTTGGCGGCGGATTCTTTCTCATGGCATTGCTATTGGCTGTTAATTTCTTGCCGAGGCATACTCGCTTACTTCGTGTGCGCAAAAAGAAAGCATGTTAACTTCGATGCCAAAACTGCCAGGACATTGAGTCTTTAATTACATTCCACATTTCAACAAAAGCCAATTAAAATCCGGTTCAGTGAGCGACCTCATGCTCGGAGATGTAGTTTCTTGTTCAGTTGGGGGCGGGGGGAGGGGGGGGGGCTGAAGCCCCTAACCTTTGCTTCAGCCCCAACTTTGAGAAGAACGTGTGCAAATGTGTGGTGAAACCCATTTGGAGCGCAATTTTGGCGAAGGCGTCGTCATTTTTCAGTTGCCAGCCCCTATTTTGCGAAATTATGCTTTTGCTCACTCTCAACGACTGGAAATTGAAGATGACATCGTCTGCATGATTCTTCATAGTACCACATGGCTTTAAATGACGTTTCTGGAGCTAATGACAACCAGCATTCAAGCATGCGCCCTGAATTTTGTCGTTATGTTGCCGTAATTATGTCGTTATTTTGTCGTTTTGTCGTTATGTTAGACTTTTAAGCGCTAAGCATGATATTTCTTAATGAGTTTTATTTCGAATATGCTACTCACGCCAGCTCTCCATGTTACCATTGACAACAAATTAAAACGCGGGCGAAGTAATCTCGGAGGGGTATTTTTGTCTGCCGATCCGAGAGTCTCCTGCCTCACGATATGTGGTGCCACGGGCTTGCCACATTGCAGGCGTTTGAGGACCTATTTTGCATCGGTGACCCACGGTCCGCTGCGGTAGGGTTAAGCACAGACGCGAGCCTCCTGTTCTCGCTAACTGCTCTGGCGTCATTCATCGCGGCCGTCATTATCCTCGTCGCTATGATTGTTATTGTCACATAATAACGCTAATTTGCGGTAACAAGAAGCTACGATGTGACTATACTACTATGATATCATTCAATGTATACACTATTACTGTTTGTATGTATGACTATATGCATATTCCTCTTTCTTCGGCAGCGCCTCGGTTTCTGGACACGGCGGACATGACCGGCGGCGAGCTGGCCGTGCTGGTGGCAGCGCTGGTCGGTGCTGCCATCTGCATCGGCCTCGTCGTCGGCGCCTTCCTCTTCCTGCGCGTGCGTCGCAAGATGGACCCGCTCAACGATCGGCTGGAGGCGCGAGGCGTCGGTAAGTGGCAGCACCGGCGGCCGACCGATGGCCGGCCGTGGTCCTTGCTGCTCCCTTCTTGGCCTGGGGCCCGATCTGGTGCGGGGAAGATCTGTGCGGCGCGTGACGACGCTAGGGTTGTAAGAAAAGTGTTGAATGCTCGCTTGAGCGCTTCTGGCCTGTTTTCGTTGGCGAGCAGGAAGGGCTACTCCGCTGGATTAAAAATGGTGCCTACATATCTTGTTGGTTGGAGCCACGACGGGTCTCAACGCGCTTGTAGGACGTTTAACCAGAAATGGCTAAGAGGCTTTTGACATGGACTGCGAGACAATCGAACGGAGGTGCTCCAACATCTGCCGCTACGCACCCTACGCTCATGAATAGTCTTATTGCTTGTGCCATCGCGACTTAAGCCAGGTTTTCGTCCTTCTTCAGACGCTGGCACGGTCAACGACCTGGAGCGGATTCAGTTTTTGACGCGACTTCAAGCCCTGCGTCCCGAAACTCAGAACTTTCTGGAAATGCTGAATGACACCCGGAAGAAGTTCGACAGCAAGAGCGGAAAACGACGGGACTCCACTGTAGACACAAAGAACAGAGCATACCGGTGAGAGAGGCGTTGGTATAAACAAAACCTGTTTCCTTCACAGTCCCACATTAGTAACACGTTTTAGATGAGCAAAAACAAAAATCTGAAGTAACTGAAATACTAATGTACTAATGTAAAAATACTACTAACTAATCTGAAATACTGTCGCTTTACTAAAGCAAGTGGGTGTTGTACGATGGATACAAAAAATCCCCATGACCCCATGACGACACCAATTATGATAACAGTCAGGACAACGAGCAGCATCTGCATGCCGATCTTACCTGCGGCGCAATGGGAAGCACACACGAATGGTCATAAGGGAGCGTTCTCGGTTCTGTAGGGGGGTCGGGGCTGTTTGACTAACGTATTATTTGGCTAGCTCTATGAGCTCTGACCTTACACATCCTCTTGACTGATCACTTGATAAATGACGACAGTAGCTCTGGTCTGCCAACTGCGCGGTTGCCATCGTTGCCTGACGTCGGCCTGCTGAGATTGCCCGCAGTGGATTTTAAGTTGCGCGTCTGGGAAACCAGGGATATGGAGTTCGAATTTCCGCGGTGCCCGCGCTTCCCGCCAGGGTGAGGCGGCATGCAACGTCATATAGCCTCAGCTACTGAAGGCGTTGTTGACTGCCACCCGACGCGTGACCTCCACCTGACACGTGACCTCCACCTGAGGCGTGACCTCCACCTGACGCGTGACCTCCACCGGATGCGTGACCTCCAACAGACGCGTGACCTCCACCTGAGGCGTGACCTCCACCTGAGGCGTGACCTCCACCTGAGGCGTGACCTCCACCTGACGCGTGACCTCCACCTGACGCGTGACCTCCACCTGAGGCGTGACCTCCACCTGAGGCGTGACCTCCACCTGACGCGTGACCTCCACCTGACGCGTGACCTCCACCTGACGCGTGACCTCCACCTGAGGCGTGACCTCCACCTGACGCGTGACCTCCACCTGACGCCTGACCTCCACCTGACGCCTGACCTCCACCAGATGCGTGACCTCCACCTGAGGCGTGACCTCCACCTGAGGCGTGACCTCCACCAGATGCATGACCTCCACCTGAGGCGTGACCTCCACCTGACGCATGACCTCCACCTGAGGCGTGACCTCCACCTGAGGCGTGACCTCCACCTGAGGCGTGACCTCCACCTGACGCATGACCTCCACCTGAGACGTGACCTCCACCTGAGACGTGACCTCCACCTGACGCGTGATCACCACTTGACACGTGACCTCCGCCGGAGGCGTGACAGCCACCTGAGGCATGACCTCCACCTGAGGTGTGACCTCACGGCTGACCGGCCGCTCGATCCTGCGTGACCTCACGGCTGACCGGCAGCTCGATCCTGCGTGACCTGTCGCGGATCCTGACGCTGCTGAACAGGAAGGAGGAGCAGATCTGCACGGTGCCGGCCGACTGGCAGCGACTGCTGGGTTGGGCGGAGCGGCTGCTCAAGCGCTACAAACGACAGAAGATCTCCAAGGTAGGCCGCGGCGCCGACCTCGTCCGGTCGCAGGATGACGGTGGGGGGGGGGGGGGGGGGGTCGGTGGGGTGTGAAGTGAACGTGATGGCTCAAGGACCTACGCCACTGGGTTTCCCATATTCACGGCGGGTGCACTGTGCGTTCCTTCTCATCTCAACGATGGTGAATATTTATTTGAACTTCGACGAGGATTGACTTGTATGGCTAAGAAGTCACGACGATAGAGTATTACACTGGCCAATCGAGCGCATCAGAAGCCGGCGTTAAACATGCAGGTGCCAGTGATTGCAAATAGAAACGGATGGCGACTACGCAATGCACCTTTGACGCTGTCGTCGTTGAGAAGGGTGGTCATCATGGGAAGGGCCAAGTGGGCCATCTCCCATCCCTGAGCAAAAAGCCTTCACTAGATGCTGGTAGATCTTTCACGAGATTTCGGATTACACTCATACGATTTTGGAGAAAATTTGACAATTGCACTCCCACACTGAGCAAAATCTAGGCTACGTGCCTATCGGCACGTCCTATCACAGCAAGTTGGTATCTGATATGAATAAATAATTTTTAGAGCTGTAGGTAATTATCTGGATTGTCGTTTTCTCCCGAGTGGGTATGCTTGCGGCGTAACAAACGGAACAAACAGCATTATCTCCTGTTCTTTGCAGGAATTTGGCTCGGCTCCGCACATCGAGTACCTGGCCGTGCCGACTGCGCATGCGCCGTCGAGTCGTCCCCGTTCGGCAGCCGGCCGCCTGTCCCGCCCAGAGAGCAGCCTCGTCACCGGCTCCCACTTCAGCATCAGCCAGGCCATCATCGAGGAGGAGGACCACCTGGACGGCGCGCAGAGCCTGCCACCTATCGGGGCCGGCGAGAAGCGCAACCGCCCGGCGCCGCCGCGCGGCGGCACTAAGTACCGCAAGCGAGAGGTGGCGGCGCCGGGCGGCCGGCGGCGACCGCGCGGCGCGCGCCTGGCGCGTCAGGCCGCAGGCCGCGCGCACAACTGCAGCGTGCCCACCGGCCTCCACCTGCTGCCTGAGGAGTGCGCCGGCAAGCCCGTGTTCGTGCACCAGCTGAACGGCGGCCACGGCGACCTGTTCGTGGACGAGGGGTGGTCGCGGCCGGCGGCCAGCCTGCGCCCCGCCTCCAGCGCGCACAGCCTGGCGGCGGCCAGCTGGCCGCGACCGCCGCGCTCGCTGCCGGCGCCCGGCGGCGAAGCGCACCCGCACCGCGGTCCGCGTCCCACCTACAAGGACTGGCCGCTGGAGAAGCTGAAGCACGTGCGGAGCGCGCGCGTCGAGCGCGAGCGCACGTCCGACTTCACCGACACGACGACGGACGGCCAGAGCGGCCACTCGGGCGGCAGCAGCGCCGGCCTACCGCCGCCGCCGCCGCCAGTCTACGGCGGACCGCGCAGCAAACTGCAGCTGGACAGCAGCTTCAACGAACACAGCGACTACATCGACAAGGACATCGACAGTTTCAGCGGCCGCTACTTCCACGAGGAGGAGCTGAGCACGGTGCTGTAGCCGGTGCTGTAGCCAGTGCTGTAGCTGGTGCTGCAGTCTCTGCTGCTGCCGGTGCTGCAGCCGGTGCCGCAGTCAGTGCTGCAGCCGGTGCTGTTGCCGGTGCTGTACCCCGTGCTGTAGCTGATGCTGTAGCCCGTGCTGTAGCTGATGCTGTAGCCGGTGCTGTAGCCCAACCGGTGCGGTAGCCGGTGCTGCGCGGTTGATGATTGCCTTTTGTAGTGGTACCGCCGATGTCTGCCGCAGTGGCGGGCGTCATGGTCTGGCCAATGTTGTGGGGAGTACTGTGTGGCCGAGGTGAACTTCGTACTTCTGCTGCAGAAGACACTTCTCCGTTCAGATGCGGTAGCGAACGCTGCCTTGCTCTTGAGTGGCGAGCACCGCCCTGGTGATGCAGTGAAGGCCGCCAACCAGGTGTTTTGATCACGCTGAGCCGATACTAAGCTGACCCTGGCTCGGACTCGGGCGAGTCGAGTGGACTCGTGACTGAGGAATGGCTCGCCGGCCGGGAGAAACGTGGGCTGGAACGCGTGATGACTCACGCAGTGACAGTTCGGACCGGGATGGCCGAGGCCTGGCATGGGTCTATACGGTCCGCGGTCAGGGGTCGGGTGTGCGTCCTGCGCGGCGGCCCGACTGCCATCTACCGGCAGGCTTGTCAACCGTTGTCGGCCGGCCGGAGAACGTCGGCTGCTGTTCGTCGCTGACCTTCCGACTGGAATATTGGCCGGCTCCGACAAACCACCGACGACCGTCGGTCCAGCGCGGAGCGCCAGCTGGCGGCGACCGCCAGAGACTCGGCGGAAATCCCCGACGGAGGCCTCGACCTCGTTGCTGGGATCTCAGTGTACAATACTGCCATCTAGCGGCGGCTTCGTAAGCGTCTGGGGTACGGTGCACCTGGCCGACGAACATCCGCTTTGGGCTTTGCGACATAACCCCCGCCGCAAAGGAACTATCCATTAGCGGTGTGCGTGCGTCGAGGAACGGAGTGAAGCTGAACTTCAGCGTTGTGCTGCATATGGATGGTGTTACTGGACCGTACTGTCATGCCAACCGTGGCTCTGGCGGTGACGTCGGACATTGTGCAATGCTGCGGGCCGCAGCAGCGGGGGCCGCTGGGCGCACGTGCTGCTGACCGATTGTGACTGTTGAATAGAACTGATCGTGTCCACTCCGCACATTTGCTACGTTCGTCGGTGACAGCTGGCGTCACACCACAGCGCGCGTGACGGGCGGAGCCCCCCCCCCCCCCCGCTCAGCGGCTGGGGCCGGAGTAGGGGAGAGCGATTCGTCACACGTGGTTGACGAGATTGCCCCGCGACTTAAGGAGAACGCCTCGCCTGGGCCACGTTCCCCATTGATAAAGCACCTGTCTGAGTCGCTATCTATGACGTCGCAAGGGGCTACGTCATACACAAGAGACTATCCTCCAAACCGTGAGAACCGTCGTGACGCACTTACCTATGACATCATAGGTTACAACTGTGGATGGCATTTGGTGATGGGGAGCGCGGCCCAGGCGCGGTCAGTCACAGTAAACTCTGCGAGCCGCCGGTCCACCGTTACGCCCTGAATCAACCCTCATCAAGCCCCAACCTCCAGAAAAACAGCAGCCAGGCCATTGCATTTACTTGCGTCGCGCTCATCCTGGTAACACTCTCAGCCCACCGTCAAACGCACAGACAAGACAGCTATGGCGTGCTCATGTGCGTGTAACGCAGTCCGTACAGGCCGACATGCGCACCGCCACCGGCCGGCGACGGGGCTCTGGAGCTGCGGCTCACACCGGGACGGATCCGCGCTCTGCGACGCGGTGCGGGCCAGCCGCCGAGGCTTCTGCGTCCAACCAGGGACCGAACCGCGGCCAACGCAGAAATAGCGCTTGCTCTTGTGACGTCAGTGGATGACCGAAAGACATGGCGGCGAGGTAAAGCTTTCTCGTCCGGCAAAGTTCAGGCGATCAGCATGGCACAGCTTCGAGGAAGTGTCATTCGTCACGGCATGCTGTTCAGCGGTGTCGGTGACGTCATAACACGCTAGTGTTGTGCGGCGTACAAATTGGTCAGGTTTGACGTCACCAGTGCATTGGTACGCCATCGCCAGTCTAACAATAAATATGATATCATCATGGCATGTATAATTCGATGTGAACTATATGATATCACGGCATATTGGTTCGATATGCTGTAGCCACCTGTCCGGTGTGACGCCATCAACAGGTCAGTATGACATCGCCGCCAGCCCGGCATGACGTCACCAGTCCAGCATGACGTCACCAGTTCGAAAGCGCGCCAGTCCGCAGTAACGTCACCAGCCTCGCGCGACGTTATCGCCAGTCCCGCACGACGCAGCCCTCCGTCCGCCGGCAGCGTGACGTCATCAGAGCCTCAGGCCGTCTTTCGCACCATGACGCACACGAACATGTCGGCCTGGTCGAGCGTGTCGAGGCCGGCCGGGCACGCGGCCTGGCAGAAGGTCTCCTTGCCGATGGTGATGGGATCTTCGTCGTCCGGGCACGGTATGGGGGCCGCCACGCACTGGAACGGCGCCGCCTGCTTGGCGGCTGAGGCCGAGCAGAAGCCGATCGCCTGCGGCAAGGGAGGCAGCGTCAGTCGGCGACGGCAGGTAGGGATGGAGTGGTGAGGAGGATGAAGGATGGCAGGATGAAGTGGTGAGGAGGTGCGGGATCGCGGCGGCGTCCGCAATCGTCCGATACGCTGTCGCTGAATAGCACGTCTAAATGCCAGCACATCTGAGGCGGTGGAGAACAACGAGGCCGATGAGACTGAGACGCACCGAGAACCTCAAGCCTCTGAGACGCACCGAGAACGCAGTGAGATAGAGAAGCCGCAGTGACACTGTGAGACACTGTTGGGAGACAGAAGCACCGCAGTGAGACAGACCGCTCACAAAATGAGAAGCGAGACCGTCGCGACACAGGAAACCCGCACGAGGCCACTCAGAACATGCGCGAATGCTGTGGGGAAGTGAGCCCGCAAAGTAACCAAGAGACAGCCGGACGGTGAGGTAGCCGGATGGTGCACAGCCGGACGGTGAGGCAGCGAGACGGTAAGACAGCGAGACGGCAAAACAGCGGGACGGTAAGACAGCGGGACGGTGAAACAGTCGGATGGTGGCAGCAGGGTGGTAAGGCAACGGGACGGCGAGACAGGCGGGCGGTGAGACAGGCAGACGATGAGACAGCCGGACAGTGAGAAAACGGGACAGTAAGACGACCGGACGGTGAGGCAGTGGGACGGTAAGACGACTAGACGGCAAGACAGCGGGACGGTAAGACAGCCGGATGGTGAGGCAGCGGACGGTAAGACAGCCGGATAGTGAGTCAGGTGGACGGTAAGACAGCAGGACGGTAAGACAGCGGAACGGTGAGACAGCCGGATGGCGAGGCAGGGGACGGTTAGACGGCCGGACGGTGAGACAGTCGGATGGTGAGGCAGCGAGACGGTAAGACAGCGGGACGGTAAAACATCCGGACGGTGAGACAGTCGGATGGTGAGGCGGCCGGACGGTGAGGCAGACGGATGGTGAGGCAGCCGGACGATGAGGCAGCGAGACGGCAAAATAGCGGGACGGTAAGACAGCGGGACGGTGAGACAGTCGGATGGCGAGGCAGCCGGACGGTGAGGCAGCGGGACGGTGAGGCAGCGGAACGGTGAGGCAGCGGGACGGTGAGGCAGCGGGACGGTAAGACGACGAAACGGCAAGACAGCGGGATGGTAAGACGGCCGGACGGTGAGGCGGGGGACAGTAAGACGGCTGGATGGTGAGGCAGGGGGACGGTAAGACGGCCGGATGGTGAGCCAGCGGAGCCGCGCCACTCACGCTGACGAGTTGCTGCCGGGCGTCGTCCACCACGCGCGCCACGATGCTCCTGATGTCAGGCAGCGGCTCGGCCGGGCCGAGGGCTGCCGCCGCCACCAGAAGGCAGAGCGTCACGCGCGCGGTCGGCATAGTGAAGCTGGCCCAGCTGCCGCCGCCGCACGCGCTTTTGTACCGAACCGGGCGAACTACGCCGACCGGCTCCACCTATCAGGAGCGAGCAGCGTACGACGTCAGAGCGGTGGACGAAATGTCACCCGCGCTGCCGACTGAAGTCGGCGGGGGCTGGTGTTTTTTTGTCAGTTGACTGGTCATATAAAATCAAAACCGCAGTCCCACACTATGAATGATTCAAAGTGACCGACTTAGCAGTTGTAATAAATAGATGGTTTACCATTCATGCATGAAAAGGGATTGGAATGAGAAAGAAGCATGTCGTGTGTCAAGAAGTGGGATCGAGATCTTTCATCGCAAGCCATCGTAAGGTGGTAACGTCGTATGAGAAGGCTATAAGCATCTTGTCTGCCTCCGAAAGCCCGGATCACGAAAAAGTGCAGTCTGCTGTACCTTCAGTCAAGGCTACCAGACCTTACACCACGTCTACTAGACCTTAGGTCAAGTGTACTAAACCTTGCGTCGTCTGCTAGATCTTAGGTAGCCTTCTAGCCCTTAGGTCAAGCCTGATAGATCTAGGGTCAGCGGCATGTCAGGGGCGCCGTCCGACCCGGCGCACCCCCACGTCAGCCGGTCAGCTGGTCCACCCCGGCCGGCGGGCGACTTCCGGCGGAAGGGCGACGCTTCCGGTGACCTGGCCCGCTTCCGGCGCGCACCGGCACGCCGCGGGCGGCGCGGTCTGGACACCGGTCAACAGGGACGCACGTGAGGGGGCGCGGCTCACGGAGAGGAATGTCACCGGGCTGGGGACAATGTCACCCGCGCCAGGCTTCCGTGCAGCTGCCTGTCCTCGTCCAGCGCAGAAAGGGAGTCCCATGACAAAATGGTCACCAGTGTATTGCAGACGTGGCGTCACGCTCATTAAGTTCAAACGAATCAAACAAGAACACGGTTGAGAACAGCGTCGATCGTTAAACGGCAGCACGGCTCACGTCGTCGCCGGGCAGCCGCCGCGGGCCACCCTGCGTCAGACCTTCACGGCGGCGGAGGATGTCCCGCCAGGGGCGAAGGCGCAGTGACCGCTCACGCCCGCCTATCACCCAATCACGTCCGATTATCACCGCGTGACGTCAGATCACGACCGCATGACGTCAGATCATCACCGCCGCCGCTCGCGTCCCGGCCTCAGCATCCCGACGCGGCCCTCGCCGCCGTCAGCGTGGCACGGGGTCCCGCGGTCCCGCGGACCCACGCTGAACGGACGGGGCGGCGGAGGGGCGCGGCCGCCGGCCGGACAGGTCACCGCAGCTCCTCGTCCGACTCGAGCGGCCACAGGGCCTCGTCCGAGTCCTCCTCCTCGTCCTCCTCGTCGTCGCCGAGGGTCAGGTCCTCCTCTTCCTCCTCCTCCTCGGAGAGGTCGTCCACCAGGGGACCGTCCTCCACCTCGTCCACGTCCATGTTGATCTCAATACGCATCCTGCGCATAACGTGAGCGTCACGCACTCGGCGTCACGGACTCGGCGTCACGGACTCAACGTCACGGACTCGGCGTCACGGGCTCAGCGTCACGGGCTCAACGTCACGGGCTCAGCGTCACGGACTCAGCGTCACGGGCTCAGCGTCACGGACTCGGCGTCACGGGCTCAGCGTCACGGGGTCACGGCCTCAGCGTCACGGACTCAGCGTCACGGGCTCGGCGTCACGGGCGTGATGCCGTGACAAGTGATGAGTCATGCTGAATACGCTGAAGTTAAATAACAGATCAGTGGAACGACTCACCTGCCACAAACGTCATAAACTCTCGGGTTCGGCTTTAATCTATATAAACACACAACGATTTCGACAGCGCACTTTTTGCTCGTGAGAATCGCTTCGCGGCTCGCTGCCGGTCGGTTGGTCGCTCAGTGAGGCGTCGGCCAGATGACTGAGCGACCGTTAACATCTCGCTCACAGTTATGCAAAATCTAAACACGACCTTAACCAACTGTGTACAGCCCGCGCTCGAAGTAGCGCCGCGCACGAAGTACTTCGCGCGAAGCAGCGCCGACAGACTTCACACGAAAAATGGACAACTAACTAGCTTACATTTGAAACATACAGCATTCGGCCTCGAAGCACACTGTACACAAGCTCTCACCTGGCGTCCATAACGAGCAGCGTGACGGTGAGCAGCACGGGCAGCCGCATGCGGCACTTCCAGGCCAGGTGCCAGAGGAACAGCAGCGTTGACTTGACGCCCGGCTCCAGCGCCGTGGCCGAGCCCAACGGAAAGAACAGAGGCATGGCTGGCGCGCGGGAGGGGCGGATGTGTGAGGGGCGGGGGCAGGGGCGGGGCTGGGTTGAGGGTTGTGGTCACAGCAGGGTGCTGCAGGCAACTGGTGAGCTTAGGTGTGTTGTGTCATTTCCCTGAAACAGCAGCAAACATTTTAAACAAACATAGAAAAACAGCTGCAGTGTTGAAATAACTCAGACCTGGGGCAATAACACCTGGTCAGTAAACAGCAAATCTAAAAATGTTATAGACAAGTTTCTGCTTCATGCCATGCTGTACAAGAAGTTCAAAATTCAAATAAGTCTTAAGGGACATTGTGCACCAGACAGGTGTATAAATATCTGGTGACATATGAGCCTGACATGTACCTTGCCTACACCATAGACCAAGAGCAGAAAACAAAATAATCATCAGATTGAAATGATTTTAAAGGAACTATGTCCACCAAAACTTGCTTTTCAAGTTTTACTTCACAAAAGTTGTGCAATTGGTAATGCTCTTTCCATTTTTCTTCTGACCATTATGACTGTGCAATGCTTTGACCTGCATACCATGAGGGATCATCTAGTCATGCTTTAATAATGGCAACATTGAAACAGTTGCCTAAAGTGAAGCATACAACATTATAAGATGTTGGAATGCTTGCCTTGTCGAGGGTTAATATATAGGTATTTTATGGAATCAACATATTTTGACTTCTCTATGCATATTTGCTTTCAAAATATCTTTGTGCCTGATTTGAATCTCTTCTACCCCACCCTCTGGTACAGCCCATCCTGCATGCATAGCATATAAGCTGCCCTGCTACCAGGCCACTACCTTTGTGCCGAGAGAACCAAATTAAAGTGAATGTGAGTGTACTTAAATGGTGAGAACAAACTATCAAGCAATGCAAACATGAGCTTTGCAGAAATTGTTCACTGATGCAGGCAGTATATGAAGTGGCTGTAGTTTGTGATTGTAGTAGTTGTAGTTGTGATTGTAGTAGTTGTAGTAGACAGTGGTTGTAGTTTCCTGATTGTTCACACAGGAGGTGTAATGCATGCCCTTACAACTAGGTTCGTTGTGAGTAAATATCAGACAGTGAAGCATAGGCCAGCCCAGCAACAGTATCAGCACAGCATGCACTTGTTATCTAAGCACCTAGAGTTTGACACCAGGTCACCACCACCAAGTTCAGCACATAGATAGCCCATGGTTGAATAAATTGTAATGTTGTAACGATAATGTCAGGCAAAGATACTCAAAACTTATATCTTCATGTAAAGTTGAGAATTCAGTACAATTTGACCCGACATGGGTTTGGCCCACACATGGGTGAGGTTCAGTGCACTGAAGACACATGGGAGTCTGGTGCAGGAGCTAGATTTTTTGCAGACTTTGATAGCACTGCATGGCCTGATGCCCCAGCAATAACTGACATGACTTGGCCCCTTTAGATAAGAACTCCACCCTCAAGCCAAAACTGCAAAAAATGCATGTTGCACCACACAAAGCAGGGGCATTGTGGCAATAATTTCGGCGCACGTACAAAACAGTTTCAAAATCCCAGATCCCTTCGCTTGGTGCATGGTGGGCACCGATTTCAGTACACGGAACCTATGCTTTCAGAAATTGGGCTGTCTCACGCGTATACTCCGGCAGACTTCATCTCTCTCGCACTAAGGCCATCAAAGAACCTTTGAGTTTCACTAGCCGGGTAAAACATTACCTAGGTACTTACACAGATGTTCTCCCCCCGCTCCCACCCAAGCGTCCTCTTCTTAATCGCTGTGGGCGTTTCAGCTTTGCAAAACAGAAGTTAACACAAACTGCGCCACAATACGCTTCGCTGCGCCAGGGACAGCGCGTGACGTCACACCCGGCTGCATCGCAGACAGCCCAAGGCGATTGAGTCCGCAGCCCACAGATTTTCCATGGCATGCTGGCCGAAATCTGGGGTCAAGCGCCTAGTATCGCGAAATTCAATATGGGCTAGTTGGTGGGGGGCAATGCGCCACGAGAAATTAACTGAACTTCCTCCACCACACGCCGGCAAAACGGGTTTCTCCCCGGATTTGGCCCATTTTTTCCAAAGTTGGGGCGGTCTGGAGCTCCCCCACAACTGAGAAGGAAACTACCACCCTGGCCCTCGCGAAGCCTGTACTGCCTGGCCTGGTAACGTGACAATCATAGCACGCGCCTTGCCGCTGCCTACGGTGGGGTCTGGAGGATCGCCCAACCAGTAAAAATTATGTCACTGCAAGGCACATGAACACCCGAAGGGCGATGCGACGAGATGGTGTCAATTTCGACACGGCCGGAGAGCAGCACCCCGTTCTAACAGCACAGCCGGTGTCTGCACCCCGTGCAGTTTCCCTCGCCAGTCGCTGATCAGGACGGAAGGTTGGGAATCGGCACTGTGGTCATATCCCCCATGCCAAATACACCGGGCCCGATCTGACTGACCGACTGAGAAACGCAGCCCGACGGAATCGCTGACATTCCCTGTCGGTGAAACCTCGCAGGCCCTGCCATCGGTCATCCGAACCGTCACCGGTCCACACTCCGCGACAGACACTGGTGAATGAATGTATTATGTTACAATGAACAGGGCGACAGAGTGCGCCGGCTGTTGCCGGATTTCCAGGCGGCCGTTAGAGACACATACGCCACAGCGACTTTTCCTACGCGCAGCACGGCGCTGAGGCTCCCGGCCGGCGGGAGCACCCACCACTGCTCAGCACCCACCACTGCCAGCGCTCCGCTTCATAACAGTGGAACAGACGGACAATGTCACACAAGTCCTCTGTTCGCCATTTGCAGCGGTTCCGGACTTGACGGCGATGCACTACGTGCGTTGCCATGGCGACGCCAATCGCAGGTCCCGGCAGCTGCGCAGGGTCGCCGCTGACGCCGGCGCTGTCTGCATGAGGCAGTCACAGCCCCATGACGCAGGTAGACTAGCCCCCCGCCCCCACGGCACATACCGCACCGCCGACGCTCCGCGCCACACATGGAATCGCCGCCCCTCACAGCGCAAATGGACTCGCCGTCTCTCAACGCCAATAATGAACTCGTCCACCGTCCCTCCGCGTCCACAATGGACTCGCCCGCCGGCTGCGCTACTTGCGCTTGGCGTCCGTCTTCTGCCTGCCGGGCTTCTTGGCGGGCTTCTCCTTCACCGGCCGGCTGCTGAGCATCGGGTGAACTTCGTCGTTGGGCGCGTCGGCCAGCGTCACGTCGTACACGCGCGCGCGCTTCTTCTTGGGGCTGTCGCGGCTGTCGCGGCGGTTCTCCTGCTGCTCGGGCGCCGCGTCGTGCGGCCAGCCCTCCTCGGGCTCCTCCACCTGACGGTCCAGGGGGAGGCACGTGAGGGGCAGGCGCGAACTTGCCCGCGAGAGATAGGGAGACGCAAGAAGTAGTGTATATACGTGGGGGCGTTTGTGTGCTGATTAGTGCAAGCAGGTTGGCGTGCGTGGCACTGCCGGGGACATGGAAAACGTTACGTCTTTCCTAAATACTGTTAACACAAATTCAAGTCGATCCAAACCCTATGGGCCTCGTACAGTAGAACACCTGCATGAACTCCGTAAGGCTGCTTAATGCAGTGCTTGTATTAACTTTTGAAGAACATTAGCCGCCACCCAATTCGTATTTTCGACGCCACCTTTCCTCTTAAACCGGCCCATCTCCAGAACTACACAACCAATTCTGCATCCAGTCGCAGCTCCGATAAAACCTTATCTCGTGACATACGAACAGACACCCCACTGTCAGCCCCGCCACCACACCCCGACCTAGCCTCGCCGACGACGCCCCTCTGTCCCCACCCCGCCCCAGACCCCCGCCCCTCTCCACTCCCTCTCTACCGTCTCCACACTCCCTCTCTCTCTCCACTTCCTACCGCGCCCTCCACAATCCCGCCGCCCACCCACCTCTGGCGCGATCGGCAGGTAATCCAGGTCGCCGACGCCGTCGCCCTCCTCGTCGCTGGAGCGCAGCGCCTGGATCGGCTCCACGGTGGACACGTCCACCTCGCCCACCTCGTCGTGGCGCGCCGGGTGCAGCTCCACGGCGCGGTCCTCGTCGCTCAGGTCAAACTCGGACTCGCGCTCCTCGTACTCGACGTTCTCGTCAAGCTCCTTGAAGTCGGGTGCGAACGCCGACCAGTTCTCCACCTGGCGGCGGCGGGGGCAGCATGGGAGAGGGGAGGGGGAGGGGGGAAGGGGGGGGGGGGTCAGTGGGCGCAGGGAGCACGGGTCACGCGCCGGTGGAACCGGGAGCCCGAGATGTATCCCGAGACTGGGGGGCAGACGGCCGCCTCGTGCCCGCGCGGCGGCAGGGCCCGGTCGGCGTAGTCTTGAGTTAGCACGGCACCAGTGCTCTGGGCGTGTGAACCGCGCCCTCTGACGAGACACTGCCTCAAGGTCCGGCTCCACCTGACTCTCCACGACGTAGTTTCCTGTTCAGTTCGGAAGCTCAAGCACCTCCCCCCCCCCAAGTTTGAAAAGAAATCAGGCGCAAATCTTCGGAGAAGCCAGTTTGTTGGTGCATTTCTGGGGTAGGCTGTCATTTTTCGCCGCTCCGACTCCCCCCCCCTCCCCCCACTGAATTTGGTGAACCTGCACCCCCGCCGACACTGCTCCGTAACCTGGTCTGACATAGCCGTGCGTCTATTGCCTGTACCCGTCTCAGTAACTTGTCGCTACACCCGAGACCTCAACCTAACCTACCCCCGCCCCGTAACTCTCTAGCTCTCTCTAGTCGCGACCCGTCACCCCACCCTCGCCCTGCTACAACACACGTGCTCTGGCCGCCACGACCCCGCGCCCCCGCGCGTGCCCCTCGCCCCGACCCCGGCACCGCAGCCACTGACCTGGTTCTGCGCCCATACGGAGACGACGCCCAGCGAGATGGACGTCACGATGGGCCGCACCGGGTGCCACACCACGTCCAGCAGCTGCTCGCCCTTGGTGCCCTGCAGGATCTTGACCAGCGTGCCGACGGAGCGCTCCCAGATGTAGAGGTCGTGCTGGCGCGCTGAGCCGGCGCACACGTACTCGCCGTCGCCCGAGAAGCAGCACTTCTTCCACATGGTCTTGTTCACCTGGCGGCGGCGGCACGGCAGCTGCAGGGACTCCCTCCGCAGCGGCAAAAGGAAGGGGCGCCCAGCGGCGGCGCGGCAGCTGCAGGGACTCCCTCCGCAGCGGCAAAAGGGAGGGGCGCCCAGCGACATCACGGTAGCTGCAGGGACTCTCGGCAGCGGCGAAAGGGAGGGGCGCCCAGCGGCGGCGCGGCAGCTGCAGGGACTCTCTCCACAACGACATGAAGGAGGGCGAGGGGGTGGGGTGGGGTGGGGGTGAAGGTGGGGGTGGGGGAGGGGGGGGGGGCGAAGAGAAAAGTTCTACAGGGGCATTTTGCATTGGGTATGATAACAGGTGCGATCAAACGCAGACACCTCTGACGCATAAATACGAAAAAAATATATCCGACTCATAACCTGCTTTTATGAGAACCTGGTTAATGGGCTCATCGGGAACGGACAGCCTGCACCTTCTATCAAAACCAAAACCAAAATAGTATGATCATAATTTGAGCAACTGATAACTTACTTCACTGATAGCGTCATTTACGCTTTAGCACGTTTTCTCTGAGGACGTGATCCACCCAACAGCTCAACCTCCCCTCACGTGAATTTGAGCCCGACACGGCGTTCCCCGTCCTCGTCACCATCAGCCGACACCTGTCACCCGCTCCCAGCACTCCGACACCCCCTGGCGGCCGACCCTGACCCGGTCCTCACCTGGTCTTGCCCCGGCCCTCGCCCGGTCCTCACCCAACCCTCATCCGGTCCTCACCTGGTCCTGCAGCTTTTGGGCCGGCTCCGGCTCGCCGTCCACGCCGGCCGCCAGCACACGCTTGGCATCGTACACCCGGATGATGCGGTCGACGGAGTTGATGAGGAAGCACTCGCCGCGACGGGCGTACTCGATCGTCTTCAGCGCCGTCGTGTTGGACGCGCCGGACGTCACCCGAAACGAAGCCACCACCTGGCGGTCACGGGTGGCCGGTCGGTGGGCCATCGACGGCGTCGTCCCGGGCCCATCACCGGTCGGGTTTCACCAGCTGAGGTCACCAAGAGGCTGGGTGTGCGCCGAATCGCCACCGACGGGAATGCAAACCTCCAAGTCACCAGGTCACCAGGTCAGACGCGTAGTGCGTCCCTGCTTCGGGCACGTGTGGTCTGGTCACGCGCGATGTGGTCTGGTCTGGTCACACACGATGTGGTCTGGTCTGGTCACACGCGATGTGGTCTGGTCTGGTCACACGCAATGTGGTCTTGTCTGGTTACACGCAATGTGGTCTGGTCTGGCCACGCGCGATGTGGTCTGGTCTGACCACGCGCGATGTGGTCTGGTCTAGGCACACGCGATGCGCTCTGGTCTGGTCATAGGCGATGTGCTCTGGTCTGGTCACAGACGACTTGGTCTGGTCTGGTCACACGCGATGTGGTCTGGTCTGGTCACACGCGATTCGGTCTGGTCTGGTCACACGCGATGTGGTCCGGTCTGGTCACGCGCGATGTGGTCTGGTCTGGTCACAGATGACTTGGTCTGGTCTGGTCGCACGCGACGTGGTCTGGTCTGGTCACACACGATGTGGTCTGGTCTGGTCACACGCGATGTGGTCTGGATGTGATCCCTGGTCGCTGCTGGCGCGGCAAACTCCCGTCTAACTCAGTAGGTTCTGCCTGCTGTCGCTTTAACGCTCGTCCTATTGCGAATCGCGGCCCACGGCTCCCACGTATGTGGAATGTGATGACGAGTAAACCACGCTTCTTTAACCCTCACCCCGATAGGGGAATGCATTTCCTAAGGTTTTCTGAGGATACCTCCGCGGCGTGTCATGCAATCGCGCCCAAATTATCAGTAGCCTAAAGGGATCCATTGCGCGTGTTTTGACACCACAAAAACCGTGCTCCCAGTTTTATGGGTTACGCGCAGCGGCAGTTTTTGAGGGACACCACCCGGCGATGTACGGCCTACGCGGGCGGACGGGCGGGCGGCAACCCGTGATGCCGCGGAACGCGCGGCGGGCCGACATTGTTACATTAAAGGAACCATATTCCATAAATGTATGCTCAAAACATCTAAAAATATACCCGTTATTGAAACTTGCACAAGGAACGTCCGCTTCAGTTTCATGTCATCACCAAGCATGGCCTGGAAGGCAAGATGTTGCAAAGTTGTAAGAGCGATTATCTGGAAAATTCCACCTTTCACAAGTCGTAATGGGGCCAAGTCTTGACCTAACATACAAAAGTAGATGCGGCAAGACGAGATACCATTGAGACAAATCCACTGGTGCTTTTCGCTAAGCTCTATCTTCATTACTTTGGAAACACCACAGGAAGGGTTGTATCGCCCCCCCCCCCCCCGCTCCTCTCTGTTACTCCGCGTTATGAAAACGGAGAACCTGGGCGAAGGTTGTGCACGGTCCGCCGCGTCATAGGCGTTCCAGCAGTGCCTGCGCGCTCATGTGCCCGCTATGTAATGCATGAACTGCGACTCAGCTGACCATCAAGAGACCTCGACGTTCGCGCCTGCCCCGGAAAAAGAGCTTCGCACCCCGCGGGGGTGCAAAGCCCCTAGTCACCCCTGCAGCCAAAGCCACGCGCCGCCGATCACCCGCGCACCGCCCCACCTTGAAGTCCGAGGCGTTCATGACCAGCACGCGGCCCTTGGCGTTGCCGGTGTAGATGTAGCGGCCGCGGCGGTCGTACGTGGCGATGATGTTGAGGTCGCCGTCGTCATCGACGGGCAGCACCTTGTGGCCCTCGTCGATGGTGACGACGACCGGCGCGTGCTTCAGCGGACACACCAGGATGGCGCGCCGGCCGCGCGGGCAGAACTGGACCTGGCGACCGGCAGTGGAGGGGCGGGTCAGAGGGGGAAGGCGAACCGCACGAAGAAGGCAGAACTGCACCTGGCGACCGGCAGTGGAAGGGCGGGTCACAGGAGAAAGGCGAACCGCACGAAGAAGGCAGAACTGCACCTGGCGACCGGCAGTGGAGGGGCGGGTCACAGGAGGAAGGCGAACCGCACGAAGAAGGCAGAACTGCACCTGACGACCGGCAGTGGAGGGGCGGGTCACAGGGGAAGGCGACGGCGGACGCGGCGCGGCGCGGGCGGCGTGACGTCGTGAGGTGAACATTACGTCGCGGGCGAGTGCAGAGCAGCGGCCGACACACGGCGGGCGGCAGGCAAAACAGCCGACAGACACCGCACGCGGCACGCAGTGGCGACTTTCAGCTCGGTCCTGCACCCCGATCCCGCAATGGACAAAACAGAAAACGAGCCTCAGCACGGCAGGCAGCAGCAGGCCACGCCGGCTCCCCTCCCCCCCCCCCCCCCCCGGCGCTCCCCTGCCGGCGCGCGCACCTTCAGTATGGGCGAAGGGAAGCGGTAGCGCTGCTCGCACTCTCCGGACAGCACGTCCCACACGGACACGGTGTTGTCGGTGCAGGCGCTGACCAGCCGACCGCCGTCGCGAGACCAGCTGACTGAGCACACCGGGTGCACGTGCGCCGAGATGATCTTGGCGATGCCGCGCGTCAGGAAGTCCCAGATGACGACGCGGCCATCGTTGCAGCCCACGGCTAGCAGCGTGCCCTTGCGGTTGAAGGTGCACGTGACGGCGCGAGAGATGCAGTCGAGTGTGCCGTCAAACTCCTCCGGGTAGTTCTGGCCGAACGACTCCAGCAGCTCCAAGTTCATGGTGGCACACTGTGTTACAGGATGAGGTCCCTGCCGGAGGCGCCCACAACCCTCAGGCAGGGAGGGGGGGGGGGGCATGAGGGGAGATGGGGTCACATGACATACAATACCAGCCTTAAGCCAGCCTGGCATGGGCACAGGCATCATGAGTCACTGAATAGCCATGGAATGGGACATAAGTATGTGTGTGTGTGGGGGGGAGGGGCATGGGGGAGAAGGGGTCACATGACATACACTACCAGCCTTCAGCCAGCCTGGCATGGGTAGAGGCATCATGAGCCACTGCATAGCCATGGAATGGGACATAAGCATGTACTGAGAATGATGATTGGTTGCTTATTGCATGACAATGTGAGCAGACTTGTAGTTGTTTTGAGTGAAGTATAGAATAACTAGAGTTGCCCTCAAGATGACAACGGTTTAATTCAAATCTTCCGTTCTGGACTGACTGTCATAAATGCAGGTACAGACAAAATGAGTGTAATAGAACATTATTCCAGTTGGTTTAGTCATCAACAGTTCAGCTCTGTCCATGTCATTAACCATAAGCCCATAAATAGCTTGATCCAAAATGTGAACAAAGGTCGTATTACTGGCCCTCCAAGTACTTAAAACTGCTGTCAACCACTTAAAATTGCTAACAAAGCTAAATATCAAAATTGACATTTCATGTCATCTTTAGGGGTTACACTGACAAACCACAGCCAGACACTGTCTGAAATGTTCCTTCCAATAAGTAACCATTCTGTAGACTAAGCAACATTTTTGGGCAGCATGAAACAAACCACATAAGATATACAGCCTGCTGTACCCTGTCTTTGATAACACTGGAGAGCATCACAAGTCATTTTCATACAGTGTACCTATCTGCCAAGTGGGAAGTTAAAGTATGTTCACCAATTAAACACTGATATTGGGTGCTAAAAGAAGAAACATAAGCTTATGCAAAGCCTGTTGAGACAGGAATGCCAGACATCAAACCGTGAACAATAGACCAGTTAGCAATGAAAAACAGAGACCAGCTCTGCCATTCAAAGGTAAAATCCTGTATGTCAATTTTTGGTCGGTTTGCGTTTTTTATGTCAGCTGATTTGTCTTCTCATGCTGAATTTGGTTATCAAAACCATTAGTTCAAATTTTCACAAGCTCTTAGCCAATTCTTTTAGCTAAACGCTTGTGCAACTTTTGGTTTAAGCATCTGAATCTCGCATAAGACAAATCAGGTAACATAAAAACGCAAAATGACCAGAAATTAACATATGGGGTTTTACCTTTGGACGGCAGAGCTACTGCATACTCGCACTGGACACCACAGCCCGCTTGGAGACGATGCTCTTGCCACGAACCTTCAGTAAACACAGGCACGTCGCGCCCCTGCCAAAACCGGCTAAATGTATAAGGCCCAGCGTCACTCACTCGAATTCGTATACACTACCAAAATTTTTGGCGCAGTTGTCTCAAAAGCGCAGACTTATCAGGTTCTAGAACATGTAAGATGACGATGAAATACTGCAATATCTGATTAGCTATTAAGAGAATATTTGCACTTCACAGCGCACTAAAGAGGGTCTATTCTTCTAGACGTCACGTCGAATCTTCGTCGTCCGGGCAGGTCCAATCAACCATACCATAGCAGCCTTGGCATTTGAAAATTTATGGTTTTTTTGATACAGCGTACCGGTTCAAAATTTTGTGTGTATCGTAACAGAAGGTTAATATGTACCAACACACGGATTTTGGAAAGGATTGAAGGACCCCACGCGACTTATTACGATATCTCCGGTAATATGGCGTACCGGTCCGATATTTTGTGTTGATCGTTACCAGGAGGTCAGCATCTACCAGCACGTGGAGCTTAGATATCGTTGGAGTCCGCCTTTTTATTGTGATCTTTCATATTTATATATCTCCGGTATTAGGGCGTATCGGTCCGAGATTTTGTGCTCACCGTGCTCAGGAGATTAAACTGCATCTGTGGACCAGGTTTCAGGCTAATTTGAGGGGCCCGCTGAATGACGAATAGGGACCTGAATCTGAATGTTAACGTGGTGCCAACTTGACAAGCGTCACTAGTTTGTCTTCCCTACGATATCACTAGCTTGATGGAAACATGCACCAGTGAGCTAAATGCCACCAGTTTTTGTCAATTACGATCACAATCCAAATCACCGGTCAGCGGGGGCAGAGATAAAAACATTCAAGCTACGATGATCCGTGCAGTTGCATGTCGTTTTAGGCGTTTATTCACATAAAAGGTTGTGCACAGCGCAGCAAGAAGCATTCCATTTCTCGTGGTCGCAGAGGCGTTCAGATCACCCGAGACGCAAACGTGCAAGGAAAACGCGTTAGCGACCGTCGCGCTCATCGGACGCGCGGGCCGACCCCCTGCGGTGGTATGCTGTGCCGCGCGCCATAGGGGGGGGGGGGGGGGAAGGGAATAATCGTGATAAGACACATATTGTTGCCGAACCATTTGGGATATCCCAAAAACCCATTCGGGTTAATGTTCTACAGTTATTCATCTTCCGAAATGAGGCAGTCGTTTCTGATTTTTGTGATTTTCGGTTCGGTCAAAATGGAGTCAAATAATATCTTCTTGTATCTTACGAGCATTACGGGGCACCGAAATTCGCGGCAGTGTTTGTTACAGTCAATTTTCCACAAATACTGCGGGATATTTCATGAGTCCCCATCCGGGTTTACGTACAGAATTGAATGGAGATTATTGCTGTCATTTAATTTTTGGAATCCAGGTTTATGTACAGAATTGAATGGAGATTATTGCTGTCATTTAATTTTTCGCCGGTGATCTCGGAGATCACCAGCGAAATCTCATTGAGCAGGTAATAAACGCTTGCGTTTAACTATGTTTAGATGACAGGCTTCATGATAGCGAAAAACTGCGCATGTATCACTCATTTGGAGAAGATGCAGCCTACTTTAACGTCATGGCACCAAGAAATTTAGCAGAGTTTAATGATATGTCCAATCTGAAAACACAGAGAAACAGTCACCAAAATTCACAGTAGGCATGTTTGGTGGGGTGCCGACAGGGTGGGGCTCGTGAACTGCAGCTGGGAACTCTGCGACAAGTCACTCAGCTTTGGCGTTTTTTGCCGTGCAACGTCGGCCATAGAATCAACCTAAAATTGCACACAGCTGCGAGTGTGGCGCGCGGCGTATCTGTCCGTTGTGGGTTACATGTTGTTTTTCAACGTGCGAGTACGGTTTTTGTTTGTTTCGTTTGGCCCCAGCGCTCGCTCCGGACATACACGCCAGGACGATCAATAGGGATGGGGGGGGGGGGGGGGGGGGGGCGGCCCGTTAAAAAACACTGAGGTCGCCGGAGCAGGGGCACGTTCAAACAATACATGGCCACGTCCAGACAATACCGTAACAAGAGCAGCCGGCTGCCGGAGGGACAGTGAGACGGACGTGATGATGGGAGACCGCATCGACCTAGTGCGCCGACGGCCGGACGCTCGGCGCCCACACCCCTGCCCAATGTAGTAAGCCCGGCGGGGGAATCGCCGACCCTTCGGCGATTCCTTGAGATCTTAGGCCCCGTGTTTTATGACCTTGCGTTTTATGAAAGAAAGAAAAGTTTTGCAGGGGATATTGAGCTCATGGGTGTAGGAACAGGGGGGGGGGGGGGGGGGAAGAGGGAGGCGGGACAGGGGGCTATGCCCCCCCCCCACTTTCCAAGCTGGGGGACCACCAGTGTCAACTGCCCCCCCCCCGCCACTCTTCAGACTAAGGTTGCATTTAGCGTACATTTGTACTTCATTAAACACATATGCCGATTTGCCTAGAGTGCCACCCATCATCCGCAAGATGCGTCATCTTCTCCGTTTGCTTATTGGCCATCGCTTCGTGTCATAGCCACAGGCCGACGTCGTGCGGCCTATGGAGACTGCGACGGCGGGCGTCGAGGCTGTTGTTGCTGTGACTTGCGATCGCGCATGTTCAAAACCATATTACATAGTTTTGTATATCAGTGGTTAATTCTGACTGAATCTTGAACATTTCAAGACGAACATGGATCAGCTATGTTAATGCAAATTTGGGCCCCCCTTCTATCGACAATCTACGTTCAAGGAATCATCAATATCTCTGAAGAACACAGAAAAAAGCATGGAGCTGTAGTCTTTGTGACAATTATTTCATCACCTGCGGTAATCAGGCATGTTGTTGCGTCAATGAGGGTTCCTATGCTGATCCGGGGCCAACTGCGCGGGTCAGGAGGTCTCCCATGCCAGCAGAGAGGGGAACAATGTGAATATAATATATCCTTCTCATGGCCTCCGGATCGACCAGAAGATCCCGTCCCGTGTCGCCAGAATGACAGCCAGAACACACTTGGTGATGGGACGGAGTGGCCCTTCAGCCCTTAAACGGAACCGGTAATGTGTCCCTGGCGTTGTACTTAAGGGGCCCCTTGCCCGGAAGGAAAAAGGGGTCTCGTTATTGGTGAGCAGAGTTATCATTATTGTTGAATAGAGTGGGTGGAAATGAATTTTAAAAAAAACAACGGAATCATCCCATAGTTGATTGAGAACGTTCATTTTCCAGGATGGATTAGTGAAAGAATTACATCAAAGGTTTTGAACATGTCCGCCCGCAGCCTTGAGAGCAAGGACAGCGATGGCTTGAGTTGCAGCTTTTATAAAACCGTACAGCGTCGGCCACTGCAAGTGCCACCAGATGGGGGAGCGGGGGGGGGGGGGGAGGGGTGCCGTGTTGCCACCAGACGGGGGGGGGGGGGAGGGGGGAAGCTGTGTCTGTCTTCTGGACAGATTGATAAGTGCAAAAACACGAAAAATGGAGATTCTACCTTTGCTCTTCCAGTTCAATCACCAGATTCCCGCACCATCCCGCGGTGCTTTAAGGGCCAATCCGCTGTTATCATCAGTCTAAAAATCGCACACGTGAAATATGTCCCCAGCCTGCTTTCTTAATGTAAGATATGATGTCCTGAAGCATTCAAGGGTAATTATTTAATTTTTGTTAGCCCGTTGGCCACGACTCAATATTAGCTGCTGGGCCAACACCGCGCGACCCACGGAGACTGCAACGCCTGACATCGAGGTTTTTGTTACTAAGACTTGTGAGTGCGCATGCTTAAAATTACGTCACACAGTTGTATTACTAATCGATTTAAGTGTTCAAAGGTGTTTCTTTCAGGGGTGTCATCATTTTCGTCCACCGGTGGACCACGGCGAAAAGTGATCCGCTGGACTAACGCTCCGCAGATTATGGAGACTGCAACGCCTGGTGTCGAGGTTTTTGTTGCGAAGATTCGCGAGCGCGCGTGTTAAAAATCACGTTACATAAATTGTATCACTAATCGATTCTGACTGAATATTAAACGCTTGCAGACAAACACGACTTGGGCGTGTTAGTGCACATTGTTGACCACTCGATCTACAACCAAATTTTCATCTTAAAATTTCGATCAAACATGTTTATACACAATCGACCTTCGCGATGTCCTTCATGTCTGTGGAATCCAGATGAAACATTCTGACAACACTGCTGAATATCGGTTTATAAAAAGCCCCCTAAACCATTTTACATTAACGGCACCGGTGATTTATTGCATGCGCCCGTTGAACACCTGATTTCTGCAGTTTATTGACTTCAAAATGCAATCAGAATTGATCTCACGGCAGCTTCTGGTTTATGTTTTGGTTGGAAGGTAAAAATAACAATGGAACGAAGAAAACCGTATCCCTTGTTAGCAAGTCAGCTATATCCGGGGATTTTTTGCGGAGGCCACCATAAGAAGGGCTTTTGTCAACCTTGTGCTCCCCTTAGCTAGGCTCTGGCTGCGTCCTCGCCTACACACAAAAGCAGATCAAGTCGTCTACATTGAATGATGGGCAATTAATGTCCGTTGGGCCAGTTCATACCTAAGGCAGGCAGCTTCACGGAGGCTTTTTCTGTGGTGAGGTGTAAGGAAAAATAATTCGGAAAAGGTACTGTTGCAGGTGTCCAGCATGTTTTACACACCAATTAGTGGTAATGCTGATCCAGAAATACGCCACAAAGCAGCCATACGATCAGTTCGCAGTCAGTCATGCGGGAGAGAGCCGGGCCTGGGCAGTGGCCATCGATAGCGGACGGGAGCGGGGCTCAGATAAGGAATATATGACAGAAGAACCTTCATTCTGTGGCTTGGTTGTAAGAGGAGAATCTCCAGTATGATGGTTTTGTGACGGTGTTTTTGGCAGTTTCAAGCTTCCGATTGGTCTCCGCCTAAAATGCTGCAACAAGCCTTATCTCTTGAAAAGCAGCTAGCGAAATCAAGGCGCATGAAAAGTCTGATGCACTGTGAGCTATCGATTCACTCTCAAAATTCTCACTAGCCTATGTCCATACCTTATTTTGGCATCTACCCTGTGGA